GACCACATCTCCTCTGACTTGTGTGTTACTGCTTCTAGATGACATTTCAACTTAGAAGATAGAATCTATTTTAAACCCTCTTTCTTGACTAGCACAGCCTAAGTGGTGTCTCCCTCCCTCAGTTCCTTATCTGCCTGGTGGCTCTGTGGTTTGCTGTGACCTTGACCTCTCAGGTGGTTTGATGTAGCTCTTGGATGATAACCATCACGTCCCCGCTGCTGCATCCAATGATTAAAGAGATCGCTTTCCAAAAGCTACTTGTCATTCCTCACCCAGTGCTGCGCTGCAGGCGTCCGCGGCGCTGGCCCGAAGGACGCGAAGCTGGTGACGTGGGGGAGGGTGCTTGTTGGGGCGCGTTGGCTGCAGGGTCCGGTCCTTTGCTTGGCTGCCGCGGGGTACGTCTGCCTGTTCACCTCGGGACCGCCCGCTCTTAAGGGGCGGCTTGTGGTGCAGGAGCAGTTGGTCAAAAAAGGATGGTGAAATTGCTGCCAATAAGTAGAGGTGCATAAATCTTGCATGTAACAAGATTAAACTGAATTAAATTAAGTTAAATTCTAAATAATATTTAGAAATATAATTCCAGCATTCTGCAGAAACAAAAAGATATATTTTCACATTCCAAAAGAGGGGGTTTTTTTCCTATTTGTAACCAGTGTTGGTGCCTCAGAGAAGAGGGGATGGGGACAATCCAGGTGTTGGAGGACGCATGGGAAAGGCACCCAAGCTTCTTGCCATTGCGCTCTGTCCCAGCGGGGCTCTCTGTCCTGCTGCTTTGAAGGCTGCTTCTCTCCCAGAACCTTTTCTCTGGCACATCCAGACCAGCCACGGGATGTTAATATTCCTGTATTTTTATCTGATGGATCAGGCAGACTTACCTAGAGAGAATTGCCTTTTTAAAACTTTACAAAAGCACTATACAGGCAGCATGTGGAGCAGCTGGAGGACAGCCTGCACCCATCCGCACGCTCCTCCTGGCTTCCAGGCCGTAGTTTTCCAGCGTTCTGTATTCCCTGTCCGCGTTTCCCCACTCGTGCCGGTCCCTCAGGGCTGCCTGTGCTGCTGCCTGCGTCTGGCCGAGCCCGTCCCACCCGGCTGCCCTGCTCCCCTCTTGTCCCTCTTCTCTAAGTATAGAGCCTCCCCCTCCACACCTATCTCCAAGTGATTCGCTCCTCTCCATCCATCAGCCTCAGTCCCCGGTGCCTCCGTGACGGCTCCATTAGACACGTGCTCGGCAGCGGCTATATTTAGGAGTCAGGAAAGGAATGAGCCTTTGGGCTGCGGACAGCCCATAAATCCACCTCCCGTCACCAAATCACCGTTCTTTTATCTGGAGAGGGATTGACAGAGGTGTTTGCAGATGAGGTCCAAGTGCCCGTGGAGGGAGGCAGGGCGAGGAGGAGGAGGAGGAGGCAGGGCAGGGTGGAGAAGGGGCGGACGGCGGGGAGCGGCGAGGAGGGGGTGCCGTCTGGAGGGGGCTTGCTGTGCCGCAGCAGCGCGCTCCCTCCCTCGCGGGGGGCTCAGGGGCTGCGAACGTCTCTTATTGAAGAGTGTCTTCGCGTGCCGTGAGCGGGTGGCTGTGCCCACCATCACTGTCGTGACCTGCACCGTGCCAGCGCCTCCACAGAGCCCTCCTTCCTTCCTTCCTTCTCCCACCTCACATTTTTCATGCATCCATGTCAAGTTGTAAAGAGTTGTGGGTGCACACTTGTTCAGAGGCACGGCAAACAGGGCTGGTCCTGTTGCCTTGGGTGTATTTCAGGCCTCTGCCATGTTTCCTCGTTCCTCGGTGGGAAGCGTTGCGGCATCCCCGCGGTGTGCGTGGCGCGCAGGCAGCACCGGCGCCGGGGGTCGCTCCCCGCTGCCGTTGTCTGGGCGCTCCCGCAGCAGCGGGGAAGGAGCCGGTGTGCGGTGCGGGTGCTGCCCCGACAGCGCGTCGGGGCACCCTTCTCCTCCTGGCCGCAGCGTGCTCTGGGTGTGCTGCTGGGGGTGGAGTGTGGCATCGCCCCCGACCCGGAGCTGAGAACCTTCTGTCTCCGCGCAGGAGGGTGAGCAAGGTGAGAAGCTGCCCCGGACGAGCCAGGCGAAAGGGTTGTCCCCTTGTAACGCTCTGCGGCGCGTTGCTGTGCCGATCAGTCCTTAACTTCTCCGTTGCTTGGCATAGCGTCTCTTTTTGCCAGTAAGATTAATTCATTGGTTCTTTGAGACAGTTTTTCCCAGGACTGCAAGGACGGGGCTTGGTGGACGACCACCTAATCGGAAGATTCACGGGGCGCCTTCGGCCCCCCTGGCACCGCCATGCTCCAAGAAATCTGCCTCCAGATTAGGTAAACGCACCCGGCGAGGCACAGCGCCGCGGCTGGAACGGCGCGTTGGGTCACCGGGGGCTGCTCCTGCACGGTGACGTCCCCCCAACGCTCCGAAGCGATGGCGCTGCGAGGGCTGTGCTGCTCCTCACCCAGCGCGCGGCGGTGTGGCCCCTGGGGCTGCCCGGGGGTTGCTGGGCACTCGCTGCTTCGGGGGGGGTTGGCAGAGCACCGGCAGTAATCTCTGCGATGCTGCATGTCCCACGCCTTGGGCTCGCACCGTTTTCACCACGTGCACCACTGTAAAAAAAATTTTGAGCACCCCCCCTACACACATATTTACTTATGTGTATGTGTATATATATACACACACATATATATATACATATGCCTGTGTGTACATATATACACCTGCATGTATATATATACACATATGTACCTGTACTACTCTGCTAATGTGCTGTGTGCACTGTAAAGCGCATACAAAAATAGAAACTAAAAAATAGCGAGGTAAAGATGGAATAAACACCATTTAAAAAATATTTTAAAATTTTAGTAGTGGTACAAAAAAATATTTCCTTCCCCCACCCCAGTGGATTGTCGTGCGCGCCCCACTTTGGAGACCGCTGCTGTAGGAGGGAGAGCCAGAGCCACAAAGCGTGGGATGTTATTCTGGGGGGACCAAGTGCCAGCGTGCCACAGCGGTTCCTCGGCTCTTCTGAGAAAGAAAGGAAAAGGCTAAAAAAAACATACCAAAAAACCCCAATGAAAAAGCATGCAAGAGGAATGGAAAAACAAGAATCAGGGGTGGAAGAAAAAGCAAGGCTGTGGTTTTCGGTAGTATAAACAAGTACTGTATTTGATGATTTTATTTCTAAACTTTGGTGAAGTTACTTGTTCTTTCAGCCTCGCCAATCGTCGGCGTGTTGTGCGTGTGAAGGGGAGGTGTGTGCTGGGGGAGAGGCTGCCCCGAGCAGGACAGACGCCTGTGCCGGTACGTCCCTCGTACCCCGCGCAGAGGCACCCTTGGGACCGCGGGCTCTGGGGGCAGCCAGCGCCTCTTCGGGGGTGTGAGAGGCAGGACGGGCTGTCGGGGGGGTGACACGGCCACCGCTGCCGCCTCCAGGGCTGTCGTCTGTCCCCGGGGGGGGAGTGGTGTGTGGCTGCTGTGGCGGCATCTCCCTCTGCCAGCGGCGATGGCTTCGTGTGGTCGTGAGACCAGGACGAAAGGTCTGAAAGTGCCTCCTGCCCTGAGCTTAAAACAGCCCCTTGGGTCAGCAGTGCTGTAGGAACAGTAAAAGCTGTCCCTCTGCTTTTGCAGCCCTTCCCACTGGCTGTTGCTGATCGGAATTCCAACACAGGTAAAAACAAATGTTTGTTTTGCGTTGTTCCTGCTTTGGGTGGAAGCGGCTTGTGTCCCTGCTGAAGAACACAAGGTGAATCCCGTCCGTACTTTGCTCTCTGTTTCCTCTCTTCTTCATCCCCTTTGTTCGTTCCTTCTGTCCGACCGCCCCGCTCAGCGTGCTTACAGACCCGCCGAGTCCCAGTCAGACCAGCAGCCTGCCCGCTGCTGTGCTGGTGTTGGTGGTGAGCAGCACCGAGGGCTTCAGGAGGTGACAAACAGAAGAGGGGAGTTACCTGGTAGTTTGGAGTCCCACCACCCTGCTGTGGCCAGGGGTGAGTTGGGTCAGTGTAACGTGCTCCCTCGGGTCGGCGTGAGGACCCAGTTGCTTTCGGCAGGGTGAGTGCACGGGAGTAACCCCGGCTCATGCGGTACATTTGGTTTTGGTAGTGTGATGCAAATTCCCTCTGCGTTAGGAGAGGGGTAGCTGGGAATGTCTGGCTTAGATGCTTTTCATCTCCCTGTCATGTCTCTCTTAAGCCATTACCTGCAGACCGTATTTGGGGTGTCTGCAGTGGCGTCTCTGTCCCCTTCGCCGGGAGCTGGGCTGCCTTCCCCCGGCTCCGGCACCCGGAGGCCCTGGCGCCTCCTCTGTTGTCGGCTTCACAGCTCAGGCTGGCGGGTTCTCTGGCGTTCTCACGCTTCTGAGGCAGGCAAGCGAAATCCGGAGTTGTTACACCCAGGAGGGGAGATTCGGTCCGAGGCGTCTGTCCCGAACCGCCCGCTGCCCCGGCTGTGGCCGAAGCGCTGCTGGGGATGGTGCCGGTGGTTTGAGTGGCAGTGGGTGTCTCTCTGGGTTCCCGGCTTTGACTCCTGTGCAGCTGGAGAGCTCGGTGACCACCGGGGGAGAAGGAAGGCTCACCAGGACTGTTACCGTCTCTTCCGTGGGAGCTGCGTCCCTCTGCGCTGGGACGTGCAAGATTGAGGTGGCCAAACAGAACACGGGGAGGAGCGTGGCTGCTGCCTCGGCACATGGAGCGTGTGCTTGCCATGCCAGCCGTGACTCTCCTCTTTGGCTCCGCTTTGGAGTCGTGGTGGAATTGGGCCCCTTGACGTGGTTTGGAAGTTTTGGTGAGGAGGTGTTGTATTGACGGCCGCTGTTTGTGTGCCTGTGGGGCTGTACGTGTGCACGCACGGGACTGATCACATTGACACACGTCTGCACCCCGGTTATTGTGTACGGATAAATGCTTGCATGGAAGTGGGGTTCACTCGGTGTACGCGTAGGGGAAGCAGAGACAGCGGAGAAGTGTTCCTTTAACTCTCAGCTTTGTGATGTGTCTTTTTTCTTGTAGAAACCAGAGAAGACAGAACAAAGCGTCTCTTCCGACATTATACTGTGGGCTCTTACGACAACTTCACCTCTCACAGGTAAGCGTCACCATCTTTCCTTTGTCATTAGGAGGAGATTCATTTCCATGGAAGAAGTATCTCCTTTCCCTGACGGAGCAGTAAACGTTGTTTTCATTTAATGGGAAGGAAACTTTTCTGGTTGTTTTGGTCAATTCAGTTATAGTCTGAGTTGTAAGTCCTAGATAAGGCTTAGGTGAAGAGAATGCTGAGACTGGAGGGTGGTCTGGCTCCTGTCTCAGCTGAGGAACTGGAGTTCTGGAGAATTTTTGGTGTGCTCCAGGAACTGAAGAACATGCGTTGGATGCGGGTGCGGAGTTACAGCTTTGCTCTGGAGGGGAAGAGAGGAGGATGCTGTTGTACAGGGGATGGCATGAAGGCAGCTGCCAGCAGTGCTGGGTGTGCTGCCTGGACCGCAGGGTGTTCTCGGGGCTCTTCTGGTACGTGGCAATTGGGCTCACTCACCGCGGCACGGAGACCGACCTTGGGGAGGCGGTCAGACTCGAGGGGATGAATCGTGAAAGCAGAGGGATGTTGCTGGTTTGTGGTTGGTCTTGAGCACATGTGGCTGGTGGACATGTTCATAGGAGGCTGAGCTTTGGGAACGGATCTGCAGGTTGGATTCAGGAATGTGCTTTTGGCACTGGGTTTCTTTGTCTGAGGGATAAATGTAGGGTTGCTCCGTGGAATACAATCCCTGCCTGCGGTCACACTTTAGCGCTCTTAAAAACTATTGGTCTTGAAAGTAATCGGATGGGTATTATTGCTTATGATGTGACTGGAGCAAATTGTGAGAATTCATTATACAAAAACTAAGTTATCCTCAAGTCTTGAAGCTTACCAACAAGGCAGTGAATGCGTTCTGGTTTACTGAGCTACTTATCCCAAATCTCTCCATCGATGTGAGCACTTTCTGTGCAAAGTAATGCGTGTGACTTGTTTTGATTTTCAAAAATCCTGTGACATGCTTCTTCAGGGCTGTTTATATTCTTAACTGATCATGGGGCAAAGGAGAAAATGCTGCTGTGACTCAGAAAACAGCAAAGAAGAAAAACAGAGGGGGAAAACAGTCCATTTCCACCGTGGCTGAATGCTACAGGGACCCCCAGAAGGTCTGTGCTGGGGTCATTGGTTGCTCTTGCTCTTAAAGGTCAGGAAATAAGTCAAAATTTGCAGATGAGACAAAATTACATTCCGTAAGAAAAAGAAGAGTACATGGATGGGATTGCATCCAGCTGGGTTGATAAACAGTGTGGTAGTAAAATAAACTTAATTCCACACGTGCAAGATAACACACACCAGAGGAAACACTGTGAGGTACTCCTGCCCATTAAAGATTTTTCAACTCTTCATAATTGCTTAGGAATAAAGATCTGACGTCAATGTGACGTCACAGTGAAAACATCTTCTTTAGTACTGAGGCATTAAAAAAAAGCAGACAAAAGAGTAGGTCAGAAAATACAACTAAAGCAGTTGTGAAGGAGGGTCACTGGTGACACTGGGTACTGGGTGGTCAAGCAGCAGCTGGGCACCAACACAGAAAAACAACAGGTAATTCATATGGGGAAAAAACAGTAGTAGTATTTCATGTTCAGTGAAGGTGTTGGACTGACTTCTGCTCAGGAACAAGATTTGGACTTTACTTTGATTCCAGTCCAAACCTGGAAAAAAAAAAAAAAAAATTGAACTTTTGGAATTGTTATAAAAGGAAAAAAAGAACAAAACGGAAAACGTAATTATTAATATCGTGCTATAAATCTGTACTACACCCACATCTTGAAACCTGCCTGCAGACTTCAGAAGTGATACTTGAGATGTTGGCAGAGAAAACTAACAGGTGCTCAAAACTGTGAAACATCTTCTGTAAGAGGTGAGACTGGATAGACTGAAACTCTCGAGCTTGGAAAGTGCTGATGGAGGAGAAGGGGGTTGGCAGAAGTTCGTAAGTTTGTGATCTAGAAAAGGTGAACCAGAGGTGGCTGGTCTCTGCCTGTCTTCCCGCGAAAGAGCGTGAGGCACTGAGTCATAGAGGCATTTAGATTGGAAAAGGCCAACTGTAAACCTGACACCTCCAAGTCCACTACTAGCCCATGTCCCTCAGCACCACATCTGCACGTGTTGAAACAAGAACATGGAAAGTGACCAAAAAGAGGAGGCTCTCCATCTAACGTACAATTAACCTGCGCGACTCCTTGCTGAGTGACACACTGAGTGCCAAAAACTGACAGGGGTTCAGGAAGCAGCAGGACAAATCCGAGGAAGAAGAGTCATTTGCCGGCTTCTGAATGTGAAGAGACCAGCTCTGACTCAGGGACTCGCTTGTTGTCCAGCAGCAGAGGCCAGGAGCACGTGGTGGGAGGTGTCACTGTTCTCGCTCTGCTCTGGTGGTGTTCCCGCTCGGGGCTGTGGCCGGGAGGTTGGAGGATGGACGGCCTGACCTGGTGCGGCTGCTGCTGGGAGCTGAGCGTGAGGTGGGCTTTTCTCTGAAGCCCAAAGCAAGGTTTGCCAGCCCTACAGGGAGCAGGTTTCAAGGCATGGCCTTCTCCTTGGCATCTTCGGTGGCTGCTGAAATGGCTCTGTGGTCGGGCACCTGGCCAACAGTGGTCCCGTTCCCAGTCTCTGAACTCTTCACTCCATGGTGGAGGAAGCCTGTGCATCTGACCCCTTCAGAGAACTGCACGGCAGAACCCCATGAGATACCATCCTGGAGAGAGGTGTCCAAGAGAGCGAGTTGGTATTCCAGGACAACCTCCTCCGAGCTCAGGAATGGCCCATCCTGACAAGTAGGGAATGGGACGGGGCAGCAGGAGGCCTGTGGGAATGCACAAGCAGCTCCTCGCTGAACTCAGGCGCAAGAAGGAGGCGTACAGGGGGTGGAAGCAGGAGAAGTGACCTGTGAGGCACACAGAGACGCTGCCCAGTCCTGCAGGGATGGGGTTAGGAAATCCAAAGCCCACCTGAGGTCGAATCTGGCGAGGCGTGTGAAGGGAAACGGGAAAAGATTCTGCAAGTGCATCGGCTGGTTGGAAGAGGGGAGAGCAGTGGGCGTTGTTTGTCGTGGCTTTGGTAAGGCTTTTGACACTGTCTCCTGTAGGGCTCTCATAGGTGAGCTGACAGAGTATGGTTACATACGTGGAGAGCGAGGTGGGTTGAATACTGTCCCACTGACCGGGCCCAGAGGGTTGTGGTCAGTGGCACAAAGTCCGGTTGGAGGCCACTCATTAGTGGAGTACCCCAGGGGTCAATACTGGAGCCAGTACTGTTCAACATCTTCATTAGTGTCCTGGGCACTGGGGCAGAGCGCACCCTCAGCAAGTTTGCAGCCAGTACAAAACTGGGAGAAGTGGCGATACACCTGATGGGTGTGCTGGCATCCAGAGAGACCTGGGCAGGATGGAGACAGGGTCAGAGAGGAACCTCACAAGGTTCAACCAAGGGAAATGCATCTGGGGAGCCTCCAACTGCGGAGATATACAAAACTTGCCTGGCCGTGGTCATAGAATGGTTGGGTTGAAGGGACCTTTAAAGAGCATCTAGTCGAACCCTCTGCCATGAACAGGGACATCCAACTAGACCAGGCTGCTCAGAGCCCCGTCCAACCTGGCCTGGAATGTTTCCAGGAATGGGGCATCCACCACCTCTATGGGCAACCTGGTCCTGGGCACGCTGCTCGAGCAAGAAGGTTGGACGGGATGATCTCAAAAGTCTCCTTCCAAGTTCAGCAGTTCTGTGAGTTTCCTAACTGGCAGATGTAGCCTGATGCCACTTTTGAGTCCTCTTGTTGAGCTACATCTCCAGAGGAGTAAACCTCCTGTTTGGGTAGTTATTTCCAGCCCGGCACATTGTGTGATGCGTGCTCCCAGAACCCCTTGCCAACCCGGACCCCTTGTCCAGACCCTTTCCTTCAGGCCAGTATGTTTTCTTTGTAAGGCAAAACAAAAACCTTACTTAGAGAAAGGTGCTCGTCCTATGGTCTGTGGGTCGTGCGTTCCTGCAGAGGAGCCCATCTCAGCTCTGCCTTGTTCTGTTTTCCCTCTAATCTGGGGGAAATCCCTCCACGGCCGTACCTGTGTCTGTGTGTATACGGAGCCGGTGTCGAGGCGGAGGGTGCTGGGAAGGGTGGCGGAATGGAGTCGTCTCCCACAGGTGAATAAGTAGCTGTCCCGTTTGTCTTCTAACTTAATCTCCAGGGTCCCTCACGGAAGAGGGCAGCTGGGAGCACAGTGCATGGGCTGTGCGGGTGGTGGCAGTTTTGCTGAGAGTGGCCCCGTTTCCCCAGGATCCGGCGGGGAAGGGGGGGTGTGCGCACGCGTGTGCCTTCACCTGCGCCCTTAGCCGAGAGGAAGAACACATCTTTCCACCCTGAAGTCCTCCAGGAGTAAGTGTCAGGGGGATGTAAAGCCTCTCCCACACCCCATCATCTATGTCGTCTTGCAGATCGTAGTCCTGTTGGTCTTGGCGTTCCCCGGCTGCCAATGCATGCCCAGTGCCGACAAACTGGGCTGCTCTGCTGACGTATGACTGGGACCTCCTGGGTCGCAGTAACCGTGCTGACACTGCCCGTGAAAACTTGGGCTCCGACAGATTGTGGTGGGTTGAATTAGAACAGACTGGAGGATTTTAGCTGCATCCCCGTAGTACAGTGCATAGTCACGCAACGTAAAAGCATGAGGACGGCCACTGTGGAGCACGCTACAGGTCCTTCAGGCCAATATCGTGTGCTGCACGGTGGCCAAGGGCAGGTGCTTCGTGCCATTATGAGAACGGAATAAGCAACCCAAAATATTATTCCTGCCTGCAGCAATTTTCTGTGCAGAGTCTTCCTGAGCCAGAGGCAATGTCTTTGTATTTAATAGCCTTTAATGGATCGTTATTCCGTTAATTTGCCCGATGACATGCAAGTCAAGTGCTTTTACTCTCTCTCCTGAAATGGAGAAGGAGCCAGCGTTGGCTTTGGTGGAGACGATGAGACAGTGGTGGTGCTGAACGTGAGGTGCTGTGTCTTCTGCTCCTGCTGTGTC